GCTGGTGGCTGGGGACGAGGTGTCACTGTGGACTGCAGAGCTGGTGGAGTCTCCTGGAGGGCTGGTGGCTGGGGACGAGGTGTCACTGTGGACTGCAGAGCTGGTGGAGTCTCCTGGGGGGCTGGTGGCTGGGGAGCTGGTAGAGTCCCCTGGAGGGCTGGTGGCTGGGTCTGAGTTGCCGCTGTGGACTGGAGTAGTAGTCGATGTTAAGGAACTGCTGGTGTCCTGAGATGAGGTGACACTATTTTCCTGACTTGGAAGGGTAAGAAAACCTGAACCAGAGTGGAAGGTGATGGGTAAACTGTTTTTATGCTCACAGCACCAGTCAACAGAGTTGGACACTGGGTTGCTTTGGATAACTTGGGTGACACTTTAGTTCTGGCTAGAGCCGGAAGTTGTGAGAAACTACTGCATAGATGAAAATCAGAGCAAAAAGAAAAATGTAAACTCCAAAAGCAAAGTAATCCCAGAAGGAAGGGGGATCAGGTTAACATCAGGTAGCCCCTGGTTTGTCTCCCCCACTAAAGGTCTCACTTCTGCTTCTGGTTCATTCATTGCTCTACTTGAGACAAGTATTCACAGCGTAGCCTAGGCTGTCCTTGAACTCTCTGTGAACCTGAGCGTCCTGAAGGTGGGAATTATTGACTGGAACCACTGTACATGCTCCATTCTTCCACTCGGGAGCCACTTCTGACACAGCCTCTCTTCTCTACTCCCCACAGAGTATTTGCCTACTATGGTGCCTATTCTCCTGGGGGTTGTCTCTTCTCAGCCTCCTTCCCTAGCCTCCTTCCCTCTGGGACATACTGGGCCATCCCTGTCTGCCACTTATGACTCTCATGGTCTACCAGTAAGCAAATTCCACAGAACGACTAGGAATCCCACCTGAATAGCGCAGCCCCTCCCCACCCTGCGCCTCTCACCTTTTAGGCTTGCTAGAAGTAACAGCAGGAAGAAAGGAGCCCGTATGCCCGGGGTCATGGTGGTGATGAACAGGCGGGAAGGGGGTAGAAACAGACTCAAGGCTGGCGCTGCGTGTGTGCAGTGGAAGAGCGCTGGTGCCTGCTGCTTTATACCAGTCCCCCTCCCGCCCTAGGCACAGTCAGAGCAGGTGACAGGTAACAAAACTCCGCCCCCTCCCCTACTCTTTCCTCCTCCTCCTCCCCAGTCATTCCTGTGTTGGGTACTTGGGCTCCAACCACTCAACCTTATGACAACCTGTTCATTCTCCATTTGGTCTCCCACTTTTACCAACCACTCTTTGACTACCCCAGGTGTGCATGTGGAGGAAACCTGGGGTCCCCCGGTTTTAGTCCCAGAGCAACGGCCAAGAAAAGAAAAGGGAACACAGAAAGGCCCTGGACAACAAGACAAGGGAAGCCCATCCCTAGGTCCCCTGATCCCTTTTCCTACGCTCTGCGGGTCCTTGAAAACCACTTCTCATAAGTTGAGAGGATATAAGGAGGCTGGATAATAGTGGACAGGTCGCTAGTTTTAGTCTCCCTCCCGCCCCCCCCCCCGCACTTCCCGGAACAGCCCCACCCTTCTAACCGCTCCCTGTACTCTGAAAACCACAGTCCCCGCCCCTGCCGGACTTTCCAGTAGCCTGGGTCTCTCTTTGGCTTTCTCCCGAGAAAGGCGGTGGGGGAAATTTCCACTTCAAAAGGACGAAACTTGGGCTCCACTGAAGCCTAAGGTCCTTCCTACCCAACCCTACACCTTGAGTGGCAGGCTGACCGGTCCTTCTACCCGGAAACACCTGCCCTCTAGTGGTCACCGCGAGCGTCGCGCGCGTACTCGCACGGGCCGAAGGCTTGGCAACACAGCCCAAGTTGAGACAGATCTTAGGGTAGTTGTGCCTTGGCGAAAAGAATCAATGCCTCGGACAGATAGGAAAGAATGCACAGTGTGGGGGAGAGGCAAGGATTAGTACTTGGACTACTCAGACTTCTGGGGATGGTGTTTGGGGGCAGGAAATAAGTGGTTAGAGCCTCAAGGTATGTGTGGAAGGGGGCATCAAGTTGTGTGATGACATTGAATTGGGAAGGGGGGGATGGGACAGGATATATATATATATATATATATACAGGTAGCTAGATATTTAGGAGGCAGAGAGTACGTAGGTGGGACGTTCATGGAATTTGGGAACTTCGAGATGTATCTGGGAAAGGAACAATATTTGGGGCGAACAAGCGCGTAGAACAAGGCAAACCCACGTAGGTGTGTTTAGGGAGAACCGAAAGGTATTCTGAAGGGCAGAAGTAGTTGGGTTTGGGGAGGGCTTTGGGTTCACAGAAGCACGGACTGAGGAAGCCAGGCCGGATCCTCAGCCGGTAGGTTGCGGTGTAAACCAGCAGGAGCAGTTACAACTGTAGGAGGCAAACAATTCTTAGTCCCAACAAATACAAAACGGAAACTAATACTTTAAAAACATTTCCGAAGTGCACGAACGGAGGCGTGGATCCCACGCTCCCGCCGTGTGTCCCGCCTCTGGGCCGCTTTGTCAGGCCAGCTCCAGGCGGAGTGGGGACGTCCTACGTCAGCTCGCCCACAAGTATTTAGGTGGGCGGCACCAAACCCCAACTCCTAGGATTGCTAGGCAACAGCCATTCAATTCGGTTGCTGGGACACCCGTCACCATGGCAATGGCTCCGCGCCTCTCAGTCTGAGTATTTAAAGAGCAAGCGCGCGCACTGCTTTGGCGTTGGAAAGTGGCCTTCCAGGGCCCCAGGAGCTCCCCTTCTCTCCACACCCTTTCCCTTTCGCCACCTCTTTCACTCTTCCGGGTGTCCAGGCTCTAGCGCACCTCTAAGGTGACCCAAAGCACCCCTGTCCCTGGGCTCAAGCGGCCCAGTTGGTAGGGAAGCTGGATTCCAGAGCCCGGGGGGGGGGGGAGGGACGGGACGCGGTGCAGTGTTGTTCTTTCCCCTGCCAATATTGCACTCGTCCCGGCCTCCGGCCCCCTCGGCCCCGCGGCGCCCCCTCACCCAGAGCGGGGCAGCCCCGGCCACCGGGCTTTCGATCTCTACCGAGCTTAGACTGAAGTGTCGCCGCTACCACGGTGAGTAAGTGGGGCTGGAAGGACCTTAGCCACCCTCCAACCTCATCCTTCATTTGGTACTTTTTCCACCCACACCTCAACTCAGTCAAACTTTCCCTAGCTCTCTAACCTGCAGCTATCAGCCTTTCTTACCCCTCAGGTTCCTTTCTGTCCCGAAAAAGGCCTAAAATAAACAATTGCGCTGACTTAGAAAATAACTGAAACTTTATGGCAATGTGCTGTTGTCTTTCCTGGGGTTAGAACCTGAGTAATAATACCCCTTGAAAGTCTCCCAACCCCTGCACAATGGGGTCACTACCCCTCTGGGGCTGAGCTCCCTGACGGGTGCCAGAGAACCATCTGTTGGGCTGAGGAGACCCCAGGGTCTCCAGAACAGAGTCCAAAGTCAAAGGGTCTCCAATCAGGATCTGAATCCCGCGGCCACCTCCTCACACCCTTCCCTGGAGCAGTTGCCTCCGGAATGGCTCAAAGTCCTCAGGCACTGTGTCTGAAGAGGGAAAATAAGTCAGGGTCAGAGGCCATGGTTCTCCCAGGGGCACAGGTCAACTTGCCCTCAGTCTAGAGCCTCACCATTGCATCGGTACTGGAGATTGGACCAAATGATATTTTCTTGGGAGAAGCAGAATACACCGAGACGCCCCCCTCGCATGGACGTATCAATAATCACCCCAGAATCCGCCACTAGCTGGGGACCCTCATAGAGCTTCACCCTGTCGGGAATAGAGGTATCATTGGTGGTAAGATGCCAGTGAGCACTGTGCCACTGTGTCCCGGGGTCTTGTGCACCCCTCCCCTTGTGCTCACTAGTCCTGAGGGGAGGGAGGGGAGGCTGGAAACGGGAGGGAGAGGTGCTTTTTCTCAGGCCTTGGGCCCCTAGCTCTTTGTCCAGCCCCTTTTGCATCTCAAAGCCCCAGCACATTCCTCGCAAGGATTGGGTTGCCATGACAATGAGCACAAAAGGCTGGGGGTGAAGTCACCCGCTTCCCAGGCTCTAGTCCACCACCCCCTATTTATCCTCTGCCCTGGCGCCCCACTGCTCTAGGTACCTTAAAGAGGAACCAACCCAGTCCCAGGCTTCTAGGCTGCTGGCCACAGGAAGCCCCGCTTCTAAGCAGAGCCCTTTCCCTTCCCTTCTCCAGGCATTCTCAGCAACTGGAGACACTTGGAGGGAAAAATTCAGCTGAGAGGCCTGTAAACTCTGGGCCTCAATTTGCTCTTCTGTAAATCATGGTCCGTTTCCAAAGTAAGATGCTGCTGGAGCAAGTTCTGGACACTTAAGGGGCTGGAGGGATGGACTCTTCCACAGACTGCCTGGGGGTAGAGGTTCCCAGAGCACCAGGCTCAACAGCCTGGGTTTACAGGAGAAACTGGGTGGGAAGGAAGGAATGGTGCACCTGACACCACCTCCTCTGTGTTGAGAGGGGTAACGGAAGGAACTGGCTGCAAGCCGTACCAAAGACAGCAAGGAGCTGGGCAGAGGGAAGGTCACAGTCCCCAAGTCCCTGCTAGCTAGGGAGCACGGGAGGCTAAGTCTTGCTCCTGCCCCCTCTCCAGGGCTCAAGTCTTTTCCTTACCGAATATAGCCAACTTGGGGCCGGTGGAGCAGCCGCCATCTATAGGACGTCTTGTCTCTCCAACCCACATTCCGGGGATCAGTCCACAGCAGTCGTACCTGATCAGGGGTGTGGCCAGTATGCCACAGAGCATTCCGGAGGTGCTCACCTGGGCCAGAGATTGATGTCACTGCCTGGAAGTCATTGACAAAGACAGTGTGTCAATCACAGGCCCCGGGTAAAGAGAAACAAAAGGTGGGAAGAGCAGGTGAGAAAGGGAGTTAAAGGGAACAGGAAGGGTTCTCTGTAATCCCATACAGTTGAGCTCCAGCCTAGATGTCTGGGTAAGAGAGCGTAGGCAGTGGGGGCCCCGAGGTCGGACAAGAACAGCTTTAGGAAAGTCACTGGGTTGGGGAAAGTGGGCATCTGGGATACCTTGAGCTGCAGCCCTGGTTGGGCCACTGCTCTGAAAGGTGTGGCCTGCCAGTAGGTCTGCTCTGTCTGTTTCCACATGACCACATAGAAGCGGCCACTGTCCTGGTAACTGAAGAGAAAGCCTGCATAGTCATCATCCGTGACAGTGTTCACGTGGAAAGTGCCCTCAAAGTCCACACCATTGAAGGCCGTGTATCCTGGGGTAGAGACAAGATAACTGTTAGGGGCAGTAAAGCTGCTTGGCGGTCTATTGGGTGGGTTTGGGCACAGAGATGCCTGTTGCATGTTAGGCCAGTGTCTTGTGGTAAGCCCCTGCAAATCCTCTCCATCTACCCTCTATAGGAGCCTTCCCTTAGGAAATTCCTGAGCTGGGTGTCCTTTACATACCAACTGCAAGACCTGGGTCACTGTTCATAGTCTGAACAATTTCCATGCCCTGGGGTTGATAAGGGAAGAAAGAGAAAAAGCCCTCATCCAGGTGCACGATGCTACCCCAGGTCCCAACAGGCGGCCAGGTCTGACAGCACCTGTCCAGGGTACAGCTCTGCATACCTGGTTGAGCACTACCCAGTTTGGATCAATCTGGGCATCACCCTCAGGATCCAGAATCACAGTCTGATAAGCCCGGAAATCTGTGAGGGTAACTTCTGCACTTTCCGGGCACACATCCAGAGGGTCAACCACTGCATCATTGTCAAAGTCGTCCTCACAGACATCACCAACACCGTTGCCTGAAGAGAGTGAGGTTACTCAGGCCCTGCCAGCTGTCACCACTGGGTCTTCCTGCATCCTCTCTACCCTTCCATCCTTCACTCCCTTCAGTAGGCCTACTCCTGAGCACAGCCTGGATCAGCTTAGCCATCTCTGGGACTCCAGCCTTACCATCTGAGTCCTTCTGGTTAGGATTGGGTACCAGGCGACAGTTATCAGGCCCGGGAGGCACATAATCTGGGACACCGTCATTGTCATCATCCCCGTCACACTCATCTCCAAGCCCGTCA